TTTATGTCTTACAAAAAATCTCTTTCTCTAAAAAAACTTGGTTTTTTTATATATATATATATATATATATATATATATATATATTTTTTTTTTTTTTTGCTTGCTTTCATGGTAGCAACTGCATTCTCATATTACTTTCAAAAATTTATTAACAAATATGAGGAAGTAGTAAGTGAGCCAGTGGAATTTTATTTGTTACTGCCTCTGTTAATCAGTAACGTAACAAACCCAACATTACTGATTGCTGCTGGGTTACAGCAAAAATACATTAATCTTTGGGAATAAATCGAGTCATAGTGTATTGCTGTAGCCTACACGTCATTTAATCAAGGTCTCAAATCATTCAGCTCGCTTCCAGAATTTATTTTATTGTGAAACTGTTTATAAAATGCGTATATTTCTTCCTGTTGTTGCATTCGACCGTCCACTGTAATATGTCAGTGCAGGTAGATTGTCGCCAGCTGATGTGTGTTGAAGCTCATACCTGATCCTCAGTTGTTCTCCGTTTGTCTCATAGAAACAGATGTTGCTGCCATGTACAACACTTGCATCCAAAGGAGACCAGAAACCCATCTGACTGAAGACCTTTTACCAACTTTCAGCTCGCCTCCAAGACTCAAGTCCAACATCAACCGCTGCTGCAGCCCACCCACCGAGACCCTCCACTCATCCAGAGACACTTTCCTCTCGCACGACTGGCTTTATTTTTGGTGAGGATTGGATTCTGCTTTGCCAAGACCGTGCTATATTTGCTAATGGTTTTGGTGTTTAAAAGATTTTCTCTCTCATTTTGTTTTAAAGGTTCATTCACAAATGTCTACCTCACGATTAAAAGACTACACGCCGAATCTGCAACCCTGAACAGGTTACAAAATGACCTCAAGCATTAACCGGTGAGATGGATATTCTAAACATTTGTTTCTTTTCTAATGAGCAGTCCAGACATGGTACACTGTGGCATCACAAACTGGATTTTAAAACTCCCTATTATGATCTCAATAAGGGAGAAAAAGGAATAGGAAGGAACAAGTTGGCACTTTCTTAAAAGTTAGAGCTACACGTTATATTGAATCATAAATGCGGTATCGTCGCCAAGGGAGGGGAGAGGATGAAACTCTAGATGTCTGCAGTGCTGCAGTTTCAAACTATGCCAACTCGAACAGATGAAAACATCAGGTTCTTCAAAAAATATTTTATTTCTCTGTTGATTATATAAAAGTGTGCTGATTTTCCCAGCTGGTGTTGGAGTACAGATAGTCGCCTCCTAAACCGTACTGAGATTCACATGCTTTTTGTGTCATCAGAATACTTGATTGTGACTTAAGTGTTTATCTGTGTTGAATGATTACTGAGCCGATTCATTTTACAAAAAATCTTTTTGTGCTGCAGGCTTTGTGGATGGCTTGTATCGACTTTGTGCTGTGAGGCTCTCTTCTAGTTCTTAGTAAATCCCCCCACCAAAAAAACTCAAGTGTTTGAATCTAATCATTTCATTCATAAACTCTGATCTCCACCTGTCTTATGAAGATGAGCATTTTTTTCTACTTATCTATTTTTTGTCATTAATGCGTGTGACTCTCAGACATATTCAGTTATGCTATATCTACAGTGGAAAACTAAAATCTTATTGATGATGATACTATTGCGTTGTTGTGCCTCTACTGTAATTTAAAAGCCTTATTTAAAGGGGGTGCACCGATAAATCGGTCGGTTGATAAATTGGCCCAGACTTCCTTAATTTTGGGAGCTCTGCTGATCGTCCACCGATCTTACACATCTTAGCTGAGGTCTGAAAGTCAGCCACTGTCAGCCACCGTCCCCCGTAGCTCTACCATGAGAGACGGCTGACTCACAGACCCGCCCAGCAGGTCACGTCTCTCCATGAACGGTTAAAAAGAAAGTCTCCACAATGTTACCAACTTAGACATTTTGTTATATTTAGCATCGTTTTTGACAAAAAAATCGACAGGTCTGGCTTTTCAAAGATCGGAGATCGACTGGAAAACCTCAATCGGTGCGCCCCTTCTTGTTATGTAGGTTCCTGTTGTTTGTAAATAGTGCTGTTTTGTTGTCCTCTGTTTAGAGATGACAGCAGCATTTTTGATGGGTTAATGGAAGAAGATGAAAAGGACAAAGCCAAACGGTAATAACCTCTATCACAACAGGGTTTCCCCCAGTGTATTATAAGCCTGGTGGGCCGCCAGGGTAAACTTGCCCGCTCCCCTGCCAGGCTTATCGTTGCTTGTTGTTTTTTTATAAACAAACAAAAAAATTCTTACTTTTTAATAAGCTGAACTGCAAGCCTCTGTGCTGTGCTGTGCTGAGCAATTCACTGGTAGAATCGTTCCTGAAAGATGGGTTTGTAGTTGATGCATTGAACAGGGCAGGAAGCGAACCAATCACATCACTTGCGCCTCAGCGCATTGGGTGCCTAGCGGGCTGCCGGCATTTGATCTCTGAAGTTTACCTTGGCGTGGATCACGTGTGCCTTCTTTCACTCAAACGAGACACAGGCTCACACGTATAGACATTTATATCAACACCCTGTGAGGACTCAGGTTTTTTGGAGAATTCTTCATCAAGGTATGAGTCAAGTTTAAAAGCCGCCGCATTAGCTCTTCTTAGCTCAATGAGAACCGCTAGTGTAACCCATAGCTGTGCTTCTAGAGGTGCACGTTGAGCGTGAGCAGTGAGGATGATATATCTTTGTGAACAAAGAATTATGTGCGACATCTGCGTCTATATCCCAACACGCTGCCCAGCGTGTGGCTCTGTGCTGATAAAGTTCATGTATGTGTTCCTCGGTTAGCTGGTGCATTAGTGCATGTCTTCCAATAACATAGTTACCCAACAATGTTTTATATGTCCTGTGAACTTAAAATCCTTTAATACAAAAACATGGTGGACCGCCTCGGTGCCCCGACAATCGGGCTTAGCAGGTTTTCTGGGGGAAACCCTGGACTCACTATAGTTGCCTCAGCCTTCTGTTGGAGTGGCTGCGAAGAGGGGTCACCCTTTTATTTATTTATTTATTTATTTATTTATTGTAACAATAAAATTGCCATCAGAATTTTGAATTTAAAAGCATAGCGGTTAAAGAAAAGAAACATAGCTAAGTACAGAGAACAATAAACATAAAGTGTTTTGGCGACCTTTCTCGAATACGATTGACATTTCATAAATACATCGGCATACTAAAGACTGGAAGGGCAATGCCTAAAACTGTCTTGCTTGTGTAAAAACAGTTTAGTTTACAAAAATAAAATAAATGGCACCACGAAAATAGTGGTATAGCCCACACCTATCTTTGCTACATGTGAGTAACCAAACAAAACATTTTTATGGTGATGGTTGTGAGCAAATTCCCCAGTTGTCAGTACATCGGCATAGAAAAATAGTAGTTGTTATGGAGTTCATTTTGCCACTCTCACCAACACACTCATGCTGCTTCTGATGTTAAATATCATCTTGTCTGAACACACAATGTAGCTTTTGTGATTTTACATTTTAAGAAAATCCCTCAAGTTAAGAAAAAAAAATCTCTGTGATAGTGGAACCTGCTGTGAGAGTTGCATGCAAAACTGAATCAAGATCAGGAGAGATTAGCTCTCTGAAACACTAAAATAGATGACCCTGTCTAATAAGAGTTAAGGTCTAATGAACAATGTAGGAGTGTGATTTCTAACTTTTTAACTGGGATGTTACGATAAACCTTCTTAGACACACAGTTATTTAGCATATCGTACAGATCACAACTACGTAACCAGAGTTGACTCTTATTCTAAACAGCAGTCAAATGAATCCAACATCTGTCATTCGTCTCGATCCAACAGTGAGTCCCGTAACAAGTCTGAGAAGAAGCGCCGAGATCAGTTCAATGTCCTCATTAAGGAGCTGGGCACCATGTTGCCAGGCAACACCCGCAAGATGGACAAGTCCACTATCTTGCAGAAAAGCATCGACTTCCTGCACAAACACAAAGGTGAGAAACGGTGAGAGAGAAAAAAACAACTGTTGAGCCGGGCGCTTTCGCTAAGTTTCGTGGTTTTTTTTGTCTCTTGAACAGAAATCGCTGCTCAGTCAGAATCAACAGAGATCAGACAAGACTGGAAGCCTCCATTTCTTAGTAATGAAGAGTTCACTCAGCTGATGCTGGAGGTGAAACTGATTTTTTTCTTCTTCTCTTTTTCCCCCCTTGCTTGTTTAACTTTCCTTTCAATAAAAAAGGCATTTGTTAAATAAAGGAACACTTTATCCTCCAGGCCCTGGATGGGTTTTTCCTCGCTATAATGACCGACGGGAACATAATCTACGTTTCGGAGAACGTGACATCTCTTCTCGAACACTTACCTGTGAGTTCCGTCTGTTTAGACACTCAAATAACTTTTAAGCTTCTCACTTAATCACACTCGGTTGCTTCGTCACACATTTTTACAAAAGTCGCGTGTTGTGTGTTTCAGTCTGATCTTGTGGATCAGAACCTTTTAAACTTTCTGCCCTCGGGGGAGCACTCTGACGTGTACAAGGCTCTGTCCTCACATGTCACAGAGGGAGAGTCTCTAACGCCAGAGTATCTGAAAAGTAAGCTAGCAGATTTAGCTTTCAGTATTCTTTATTTTACTTGGAAAAGTATAGTTTTTAAAATATTGTCTTTTTTTTTTTCCCAGCAAAGAATCAGCTTGAGTTCTGTTGCCATATGCTTCGAGGGACAATCGACCCCAAGGAGCCTCCCGTGTATGAATTTGTCAAATTCATAGGAAACTTTAAATCCCTGAATAATGGTAAAATGCGTTGCTCACAGTCAATGTCTGTTTTTTTTTTTTTTTTTCTTAAAATTATATTTTTCTTTTGTTTTGAACTTTTTCCTCCTTTTGTATACAGTGCCTAACTGTAACAGAAACGGTTTTGACGGGGTGATCCAGCGATCGCTTCACGCTACATTTGAGGACAGAGTGTGCCTGATTGCGACTGTAAGGCTGGCCAAACCACAGTTCCTCAAGGTGAGCAGTGGTGGGAAGT